TTCAACAATGTCGCTTGAAGAAATCTCTCCTGAGTTTGTCTCATCCTCACTGAATAACTATTCAAAACAGCCATCAACAAATTTAAAGTAAGACTTATTTTGAAACAAGTTTTCTTTAAGAAAAAAATTTTCTTAAATCAACAAGGTTTGCATCGCATTCCAGACAATACAGTAATACCAAACGAAAAAAATTAATTATTATCAGTATTATTACTCTACTGATTTTGGTAATAATTATTTTGATAGTTATGATGATTGTTGTTTGGAATTCACAGAATACAACAGATAAATCAACATCATCAATAACAGCTAACAATATCAATTCATATTCTAGTAAGAATATTACTTGCTTAACATGTTATAAAAGATAAGAGAGAATATTTCATCCGATCAATATAGTTGAAACTGTGAGAAAATTGTTCTATATTGGACAAATACGTTCTATAAATAACATAGGAGTTCATTGATTTAATTGATAAATGTTTAGGTACAACAATATCAATGATCTTTGATGTTGGTAATGGTGGAGCTAGTGGTGATCCACCTTGTTCATCATACACAGTTGTCAACGATCCTATGCGCAATATAGCAACATCTGGAACAGGTGGTACATGCGATAAGGGTCCCTTATTCAATACAAGTATTGGCGGTAGATGGATTCGATTTATGGGTATAGGAGGTACCATCATACCTCTGATATCACCAGGAGTAAATCATTGTGGTGCTTTTCTAGTAGGATGGTTTAATGGAACATTACCATCAATAATAGAAACAATAGTTGGAGGATACGTATGTTTCGAGACATACTTCTCAACTTGTGACTTGCTTCTCTCTGTTTCAGTTGTCAATTGTAACAGTTTTTATGTTTATTTTTTGCCACCTATGGTTATCTGTAATTCACGTTATTGCACAACATGATTTCATTTGATCTTTATTTATTACAGAAAATACCTCTTCTGTTTGCTTCGCATTTTTTCTTTGTTAGATTAGAGTAATCAATCAATATGAAAGAAAAATAATTATTTTTGTCTACAAAAGAAATTGAACACTAGATTAAAAATGAATGAAGAAGTATGGGAGTCATATCGAAGAAAGACATGCGTAAAAAGAAAAGAATAACAAATGGAATGCGTTTATAATAAGAAGTTTATATTTTTTCGTAATAGAATTCAATTGTTTAGAAATGCAATAAAAAATAAGATTTTTTTTTCATTTGATTTAAAACTAAATCTATCAAATTTTTCATTCAAAAAAAAATCCATCTAGATGAATAGAAGAAAAAACTAGCTACATGTTGGCCTATGAAGCCGTTCAAAGAAAACATTCTATTATGCAGCTTCCCTTGGTTTTTTAAACTAAGATATAAGATCATTTGGGCAGCGTTCTTGAATATATTTAGTAGGAGTTTCAAAATTTAGACATTAAGACTTTCACCAATTTAACTGCGAGTTCAATATGAAGTAAAAACTTCCTACCGAGTACATTGATGAGTATAAGCTACGATACATATTCTAATAATTTTGGCTTCAGCTTTCACATGTATCCTATATTAATATTGTTTAGCGACAGCTGGTGAAAGTACTTCCTACTTTCGTCATTAGCGGAATATTGACCACCGATTTTTTAAGACTATCGTTGGCTAGTTTCAGAATGTTGTCTTAATAATCTGATGTTGTAATTCGATAGAAATAAATACGGAAATACTGAGTTGACATGTTTATAACATCCTAGCGATCCATGAAGGGTGTGGGTGTAGGGCAGGTGTGTGACCTGATTATTCATTTATCCACATCCTCACCCACACCTGATTCTGCAATCCTCTGACCTTTTTCTCTGACTTACGCGTTATATATTTGTACAGGCGTTTCTTCAAAATTCTTTTACTATGCCTCCAATTTTCGCTAATAAGCTTTACTGCATTTTGTTGTACCGTTGTGTCCATGAGTGTTCTCGAGTGAAGTATTACAGCGAACACTGGAACGTTCATAGCCAAACGAATAAATAAGAAATTTTCCATAGTACATATTATCGCATATGCTTTCAAACGAAGCACAGTGTCCCTGTGATAGCTTAATGGAACTTCAATAGCCTCTACACGAGAACTGATAAAACTTAAGCTATTTTGCGAAACTATCATGGATATCGTGCAATGAAACGGAGCGATTAGCTGACTAACGAAACCATGAGCGGCTTCGTAAAACA